AATTTAATTTCTTTTCAAGTGATTTTCCAACAGATATTCTATAATGTAAGCATATCAACACAGATCCCTCTAAGCCCAAATGGCATGCCAAGCCAATCATCATAAGAGGGTGAAGAGGTAACAGAAAAATCATTTAAATACCTACTTTGTAGATTTGTCTATTCCCTAGGGAAAGAGAAAACCTGTATCGACTGATTCTCTGCTTATTGAAACCAAAAAGCGTTTGATTTTTAACTGCAGTACTTCTAAATTTATTACTTTACTGGACTAGAAACCTATCAATAATTACTTCAACAGATTCTTTTTCTTTTTTTCCTTTTGTGTCAGTTGTGGGGCTTGAACTCAGGGCCTGGGCACTATCCTGGAGTTTTTCTGCTCAAGGCTAGGGCTCTATCGCTCTTACAGCCACACCACCACTACCGATTTTCTAGTAATTAATTGGAGATAAGGGTCTCACAGACTTTCCTGCCTGAGATGGCTTTGAACCGCAATCTCCAGAAATCAGCCTGAGTAGCTAGCATTACAGTTATGAGCCAATGGCACTCAGCAAGATTCTTATATTTATTTTGTGTTACTAAACAACAACAAACAAAAAAACTTATGGCTAAATAAGCATGAGTCAAACCATCATACTTTCACACATTTCCTGTATATGCTCCCCTAACAAGATATAAAACCACATAAACACACAACAGATACTATTCTGTTATCTGACTTGCCACTTGGCTAACTTAAAAAAGTTTTCCACAATTAAAACCATGTAAAAAGAAGACAATCTTTTAAAGGCAAACTGCTCAAACTTCATGACCCACATTCCAGAAAAAATGACCAAATGCAAGAAAAAAATCATTAAGGTGATAAATCAATATGGTAACTAAAATACCTTTTAGCACTAGTTGACAATTTAGCAGCTGTCTTGCTGGATATTTTTCCCTCCTTTTTCTTGGGCTGCACTTGTTCTCTTTCTGGTTCTTGCTGAACACTTTCACGTTGATCTCCATCAGAACTTCCTCCACTAGTGCTTGGACTGTCATCAACTCTTTGAGCCTCAGTGGACATTTTAGATCCTAGATTAAAAAGTCAAAAGTCATTTATTCAGATGTGGGAAAGACTACAATAAGGTACTTCCAGAATAGACAGAAATTGAACCTAAAAACAGAGTAAGTAGAATTCCACATAAAATGGAAGTTGGTCATTTATAAAACATACAGCTTTAAGGACTGTGAAAACTTGTATGCATCCAAGCAAAATTTCTATGCAAAATGTTGGCAGCAGCATTATTCACAATAGACAAAAAGTAACAATTCAAATGTTCACTACTTAGTGAACAGATAAAATATGGTATCATCCATGTATAACACAATATTGCTCAGCTATAAAAAGGGATGAAGTACAGTATAGACACATTACAAGGACAAATCTTGAATTTTTATGCAAAATGAAAGAAGTCAGTTACAAAGGACCACACACTCTATGAGTCCATTTATAAGAAATGTTTAGAACAGGTCAATCCATAGACACATTGAGGTAAGAATGAAGGAAGGAGAGGGAAGTGACTGCAAATGAGTATAAAGTTCCAGGAGCTTGAACTCAGGGCCAGAGCCCTGTCCCTTAGCTTTTTCCCTCAAGGCTGGTACTCTATCACTTCCAGTTTTTTGTAGTTAATTGGACATAAAAGTCTCAGAGACTTTCTGCCTGTGTTGGCTTGGCTTCAAATTGCAATTCTCAGATCTCAGTCTGCTGAGTAGCTAGGATTACAAGTGTCAATCACCTGGCCTGGTTTTAAAGTTCCCTTTTCAAGACATAAAAATGTTAAGTTAGACAGTGGTGATGGCACACCACACTGTAAATAA